TGTCCCTGCAGGCCTTGTCCCCAGTCCCTGTGCAGCTCTCCTGGAGCCCCTGGAGGCCCTGGCAGGGGCTCTGAGGTGTCCCTGGAGCCTTCTCTTGTGCAGGGGAACAGCCCCAGCTGGGCCAGGCTGGCTCCAGAGCAGAGGGGCTCCAGCCCTGGCAGCATGAACAATATGGAAATACTCTAAAGGTAGTACCTAAAGGATTAAAATGACTCAAGAGCCTTTTTTCACAGACCTGTTCCTAAACCATCTGAGATTATGTGACTCTGTATATTGTCACCTCACTGATATTTATTTCTGCCCTCTACAGATTAAAAATCCTAGAAGAAATTCTGGACTTCAAAACATTGCACAGAAGGTTTATTATTCTCCATTTACTTTTCATATCACCAAGTCTTGTTAACAATATCCACTAAAACTAATTAAAGACATAACTTTTCAAACAACAGAACACAAGAGAGCAGCCCAAATTCCTATAGAAATTGACAGCTGCAGAGACTCCCAGGTGTAGCTTGCAAATCCCAGGAAAGAGGAGATGACCCAGGTAATCAAACAACTACATTAGACCATCAGAGAGTCCTACACAGAGCCAGACCACAGGAATCACATCCTGCATTTCAGTGATGCAGCCTAAGTGAAAGGCAGACCTGCTGCACAGTCTCTCTCTGTCTTTGCTGTTGAGACCCAAATACTGCAATCAGAGGTTTTTAAACACCCATCATCTTTTGTGAAAAGAGGGCTGAAAAACCACAGGAAAGCAGATTATTAGGAATATGATACACAACATAATGTATGAAAAGACTGTACAGACCTCTGATACTGTGCTTTGAGGTGAGGAAGTTTGTTGCAAATTAAACCATACGTAGTGAACAGATAAGTCATAGAAAAATACTGATCTAAGTCTAAAATAAAAACTAAACTAGAACAGAGTAAGAATCTGTGATACAGATAAAGGTTCTGCTACCACTCCAAGGTGCAGCAGCAAATAAAACTCCCTTTATATGAATTAGCTCCCTCCTAAACAGAGCACAATAGTCTTAAACTTCGAGGCTCTTCAAAGTGAGGCAACACACATCTCTCTCAGTTTGGATGTTTTCGCTACCTTCAAACCTCAGTTTCAACAGATGGAAGTTTGCCTTTGATGATTAGGCAAAGTTGCCAAAAATGCAAAAGTCACATGTTTTCCAAATAATGGAGCTACTACAATCTTGATAAAAATTCCTTGAATAGACTCTTTTTATAAAGAACTATTCTGACCTATTCTTTTGAAAGTAACAAAAATAATTAAAATATGGCACTCCTGAGCTAGAACAGAAAACATTTTTTAATCTCTTTGCTGCTCACAACTGGCAAAAAAGAAAGCCTAAACATTTCTCATCATCTGTACATGGTACCTTTCCTACATTGCAGTTATTTTGTAGGGCTTTATAATCAATTATATTGCCTTTCCTCCTCCTCCATTTGACTTTTAAGCTCCCATAAAATGCAGCGACCATCCCTAAATTAGTCAAAACCCCATCAACATTTAAATTTTGTCAACACTGTCAACATTTCCAAACAATTAAGACACCAATCTAAAACAACCATAACTAGAGAAAATAAGGGAATGTAATAGAAATACCAGCTAACTTGTACTGGCACCACAGGGTGCTACTTAGGTGTGATGTAACTAGATCACAGTATTTAATTTTTCCTCCACATGCATTTGTAGTTTCTAATGAAGTGAAAATGCACTGATAACAACCAGATGTTCAGTTATGGATACCAGCTCTTAACAAGCTGCTGAAAGAAGCCTTTATAATTTAAAGCTTTGGGAGCTCCATCCTGCAACAAAATGTTTGCAATAGTTTCTACATCGAAGTCATACAATTAAATACTAACTTTCTATCTTTTTGCCGACTATGCAGTTCGAATCATTAGTGCACACTCTTGAGTGCTAACATTAGCAAAACCAAAGAAAAAGCAGAGTATCCATAGCACACCCAAGGGAACCATAAATCAAACATCAACATAAGGTAACACAAGTGTTATAAGGGACTGCACAAGTCTAATTGTTGAAAACTGTATTTCCTATAAAATTAAACCTCAAACCTTTATCCCAGGCATTTTGTACAATGCAGCACAGCCTGTTTTTCAGAAAGGTAATTCAAGATATTTTTAATAACTCTCAGACACAGCACCACGATGTTGCCGAGTCCCAGAGTCCCTACTGCAACTTATTTCTGCCTTAAAGCACATTTGCCTTTTCCAATACAAACTAACTTTGAGAAAGAATTTCTTAAATTCCCTGTAAAAAACTGAGACACTTCCAGAAATGCTCTGCCTCCCAGAAAGGCTCTGCAGCCTTTCCTAACCAAAAAAAAAGGTTACATTTCGTAATATGGGACAGAGATGTGATTTATCCAATTTATCTTCTTCCACATCCCACACCTTACTTATTATTCTGAGAAATACAGTCCACCTGCAATTTCTAAGTATGCTGTAGGTTGTTTTGTACACATAAATGAGCTTATTCTGCCAAGGCTGATAACTAGTTCAAGGTTAGAGGTGAGTGACATCTGCCCATACCCAAGAAAAGACGAGCCTTCGTAAGTTCAGTATCCAATGATACTGCCAAGCCCAAATGTCTTACATTTAGAATCCCAGAACAGTTTGGTTTGGAAGGGACCTTAAAGATCATTCAGTCCCACCCCCTGCCATGGGAGGGATCAGCCCAGAGCACAAGAGGTTTCCAGGTCCTAGTGCACATGGCTGGGGCATGTCCAGCCTCTCACAACAGGGGATATTCTGGCGTATAACCAGGATACACCAAAATCCTTCTCCTCGGGTCTGCTCTCCAACCAGTCTGGAACAACTGTGTACCTGCCTGAAAGTACCACACACAGGTACTCCAAGCTCCTGATGCAACATTTAGAACAAGTTCAAAAGGAAGGAATACAAAATAGCTACACAGGTACCTCTGTTCCTGCATTCTGAACATGGAGATGGCCTGCCATGCTTTAAAAATAATGTTACAGTTTCAGTGAAGGAGAAAAATACAAGTTTTAACTGGGGTGCAGGCAAGCAATATATTCAGACAGCAGCTGCCAGCTGTATCCGCTCCTTCACCAAATTGCATCTATGGAACCCAAGGGACACACTAATTGTCAAAATCCTTTGTTAAGGCTATTGAATGCTCCTAACAAAATCTTTGCTGTTCTGAAAGATACTTCGAAGACCAGCTCAGCATGGAGATTTTAATGGTCTGTTACCAAAAAAAAAAAATCATCTTTGATAGTATCTTTACAGACAGACACTCTGTTACAGTGCCATTGCAAGCTGTCAGAACTGTCTCTTCTCTCACAGGTGATCCGAAGTTCTGACACAGAGATCATTAGAAGTTTGAATATTTCATGTATTCCAATCAATCTATTTCTTCCCCAAATTCACATACTGGGCTTGCAGTTCTCTTGATTCATTCCAGCTAAAGACAAAAATGGACTAGTCCCTTGAAACAAAACAGGGAAATCTCTGGTGAATCCTGACCAAGAATCACTGGTGATACCTGACCAGGGAGAGAGAGGGAAGCAAGAAGTACGCTCACTTATGAAAACAATCCTGATCACTTCCTGAACAAAATTAATAATAAAATAATACCTTATAACACCTTTTTGAAGAACGTAGTTGGACTGCGTATTAGAGAATGCAAGTTCTCCTCTCCCCTACCTACTTCCCCTTCAATGATACGGGGACAAAATTCTTAGTTAAGGCATTGTCACATTGTTAAACATATTCTAGCGATAAATAAGACAGTAATACATATTTCTGTAAGTGTTAGTATTTACTAGCAATCAGCAACATGCTGTTTCAGGAGAAATTTAGCTAAAAAAACTTATTTCACCAAAAAAAAAACAGCCAACCACAAAACAAATATCTTCCACATGTATCTCTTATGAAATGTCAGTTTTTTATATAGCTGAATATTAAATTATGGACAGGCTTTATAATTTTCTTTTCAAATAAGTCATTTTAGCATTAGACTTTAGAGTAATCTAAGTGCTTTCAGCAGCTGCTTCCACCTGCAGCAACCACATTCACACAGAAACAGAGCTGCTGAGAGTTTCAGTTGTGGAAGTGGGTGAGGAGCTATCATGCTGGCATATTTTCTCATGCTGGAAAGGCATTATGAAGGATACTGGACTACACATGGGTACTTCCAAGAAAGAAAAATAAAACCCTGCAGGATTTATGAACTTGCCCGTATATCACAGTCCTCTCAGCCCTTTGTACTTCCTCTAATCTGCTCCAAACAAAGCATGTATGTGTTCCAGGAAGTCCTGACAAGCTCTGTGGAATGACACTTTGAATCACACCACTAATTCATTACACTCTACCTACACAAATCCCTCGCGTTAACGTTGACAGAGCTGCATTTAATGACAGCAATGTTTCAAAAAACATTGCATCTTTGTCAGTTTTCCAACCAAAAGAACAATCCCAGCTACGAGATAGCAGAGCCCTGCACTATACTGTAACAGACAATCTGAAACTCCTCCAAACCTGCCATGCTTCATCTGAGGCACTACATTTTAGACACAGACTACAATGCAATTTAACACCAAAGACACTGCTCACTCTACCTTTAGTAAAGTTTATCACGGGGAAAATAGTCAAAACTCATCAGCACACTTCCACAAAACTGAAAGAACACTTTTTTTTTTTTCCAAAGAACAAAGCATGCTCTCCTACATAAAACACTGAAGTATGGTTTATGACACATTTCCCAGCAAGATGTGGAATCAACATTTCTCAAATACAACAGATGCATGAAAAAAAAGCTATGTAAACAAATCTGGAGATCTACAGAAACATTCCACTTATTAATTTCTCTTGTCCCTTCTTCAGACATCAATTCACTGGAATTTTAGAAATCAGTATTAAATAGCACAGTATGATTTATTTTTGCAATTTAAACCCCCACAGAACTGCAGAAGAACTTTAGTTTTCACCTTACTGCATACCCCAGAGCTGAAGTGACACCTCCACTGTACCTTCCCCTGTACCATGAGCACAACCATTTCCACCAGTTACTGTCTGTGTGCTGACAGGGGTACCTGAAACAAACGGAATAACTTCTGTTGATGGTTTGAACTGGGTGTGAGACGCTCATCATGTACTTCTTCCAACAGAATATTCAGGGCTGGCACTGGCAGCAGCTTATCATTATCTGTACTGCTCCATCACGTGGAACATTCAAATACAACTATTTAAACATTATAAACCTATTACTACAAGTTTCATATTCTCTCAAATGCTCAGTTTATAAAAGAAGACTAAGTGGGAAAAAAAAAAAAAAAGCTACTTACAAGAGGGGAATTTCAACAATAAGCTGGATGAGGCAACACAGCAACTCCTCTATGAGGTCTTCACATTCTGTTCCTAAAAAAAGAAACACAAAGGATTTCTGGGTTTTCAAATACCAAACCAAAGCCAAGACTCAAACACACAAATGCAGATGATCAATATCTTAATTAAGGAACAACCACTGGATGTTCTATCTGTTAAAGGAGATAGGGTTTTTTCCTGAAATAGAAAGCACTTGAGATTATTAACAGAGAAAATGGTGATGCCTTATCTTTTTTACATAAAAAAATAACTAATAATAACTGCATAAATTAAATGAGATGTTGGTATTGTGGGAATGTGCTAATATTTAGCATATCAAGCCTTCCTTTACTACTCATAGAAGATCATATTAAACAGTGTTATTACTACCTGCTGAACTAATCACTGGTGACTTCTCACTGGTCCACAGTTAAATGTTCTTTCAAAATTCCCTGCACTTCACATATTTTCCCATTCTGTTTTTCAAAACCAAGTCAAGAATAATCAGAGACAGTTTCATTTGTCTACAATTCACTGAGCAACATTATAAAATAATGTCAAAAGAATGTAGCTACTGAGCATGTCACTGCTGCTCCACTGTAATATAGATACAATATTTTCATGGATACATGTTTATTCATTGAGGAAATTTTACACATTTCAATGACAAGCTTGTGCATTTTAAGGGCACAGAAATCATTCTCTAGTCATATACAATGTGATAAAATGCACGCTGTGATTCAGAATTATTAAAAAACTTGCAACTATTCTAAGCAATAAAACTGTTCATAGTTTACATCAGTAAGTTTTAAAAGCAACTGTAACAAAAGACTTTCAAGATTCATTGAGGAAAAAACTTATTAAACCACTTGAAGTTATATAATACTAAAAAATCCAGAAGATAAATCTCTTGACTCATCAGGATTTATTCTGCTTTCAAAAATAAAATTTTGATGAGAAGCCTACAACATCATAAAGAAGTGGAGGGTTTTATAGTGCTGAATGGCTTAAGAGTGGCATAGCTGATCCCCTGCATTACAGCATTGCAGCACAATAATTACCAAATGCCTGTTTATTTTGTATTTTCAAATAAATAAGTCCTGCCATAAACACAGCTTTATAGCTAGGTACAGAGGTGTTACTCTGCTTAACCCAAGTTTGTTCTTGAATACAGAATTTTAAGAATCACACCAGGGGGAATATTCACTATAAAGCAAAATTATTTCTTTCCACAATCAGTTTATTAAAAACACATTAAAAATTGTCACCTAGTGAACTGCACATTCTGAAGGAAATCAGTTTTTTATCACGGAAACGTGGTTTCCTTTATATAGAATCCCCCATGAGTAACACAATGCAGCTCCTGTTAGTAAAACCAAGAACTGCTCAGAGTATTTAACCTTGGACAGAAACCACAGCCAATAATGGAGCACAGATAATATATTCTAAAATAACTTGAATGTGACATTTTCCTAAGGCCTTCGAACCTAGAAAATGCTTATAAAGCAAGACTGCTACTAGTTCCCAACAGGTATCTAATTTTTCTCCTGACAGAAGAAAGTGAGAAGAGAAAGGTTAAAAAAGTGAGTGCATTTTTAATACGTAATTTTTTCTGCAACACTGTATGCACAACTCATATGAACAGAGAATAAGGTTATTTGAATATGAAAGAAAGCTTTTCTCTCAAGACAATATTCAAAATAAAGGAAGAAAACACTGGGTGAGCAGTCACACAGAATGAAAGATGTTATAAAAAAAAAAAAGCTTAATTGCTGTAATCAATGTCATTCAGCTACAATAATTAATGTATCCTTTTCCCAATTGGGGCACACACATTCTTGTTTAATTTTCATCTTGCCAAGACAATAAGGAGGATTCAAGCCAAATCTATAACGTGAGAGAGAGCTATAAACACGGAACACTCTGTGTTTTCATAAACAATGCCTCTTTCAATAGCAGGATAAAGACAATACACACAAGACTCACTCACATTAATAGATCACATACTTGGATCAAAGACCTGTAAAGCCTTGGGGAAAGCAAGTTCAGGGTGAACCTGTCCAGTTAAAATTAGAGCAGGGAGACGAATCATAGGTGTATCTTCCAAACTCCACTGCAGAAGTGAAGGCAATTACACAGGTTTTAAAATGTCCAGTTATGCTGAAGTACTTTTTTTTCATCTGCTATATTTAAGTCCTCAAACGTGGATTATTTCATTTTGCAAGCAATTTGATGGATTTTGACTTTTTGGTGGGGTTTGTTTGGTTTGGGTTTGGTTTATGTGTGTGTGTATATATATCTATATACATATATATACATATACATATATTTATATACACTGTTAACATTTTTTTTATAATGCAATTTTTTTAGTTTGTTTTTACTTTTTCAACGTTACCCACATTACAGACACTGGAATAGCACACACTACACAGGTAAAATGGCTCATGCAGAGGAAAGCAGAGATACCAGGAGGCCCAACTTCTAAAACCAGTCCCGCTTCATTCTCGAGAATGTAACTACTATATTGACAAGACCTGATCTGGTGGACGTGTTTAATGCCAGTATCAGTAAGATATTCAGGCATAACAAGGTACATCCTCATCTTAAATGCTTTTTCTGCCCTGTGGCTCATACAGAACCTGGACACAAGTAATGAAATAAATAATTCCTTGAAAAACAGAGAATCCACAGGTTTTGTGGTTTGGTCTTCAGCTCTAAGTACTCTAAAAAACTTACAACCTCTACTTGATAATAATGAGTACATAAATTGATTGCCTTCCCTCATTTCCTTTATGTGATAGCTGAACACACATGAAATCATTTAAGGCTTGCAGTAAATGCCTTTTTATTTATTCCCTTCTCTGTGTCCTCATATTTGCTTTAATATGTCACAAACAGCCCTTAATAGCCTTGTGTTTAAAAACTCCTCTACTGATAATGAATAAAGCTTCCTACTATAGCTCAGGGAACAGGTTAAAAGAATCAATAGTCTGATTTAAAATACAAGACTCAGCAAGTGCTCTCTTGCACCTTTGAGTCACAATACAGTTAAAGACTGCAGAAATTACAGGATACAGACACTGGAAAGATGAATGACTTGTGTTAGTGAGACTAACTCCAGCTTCAGCTGAGCAGATGCTGACTCCAGTTTGGGATTTATGGATATCAGGATATTTTCAGCCGAATCTTAAAGTGTATGGTTTTAGTCTCCCCGTGGATTTTCCTGCAATCAAAATTCTGCAATATTCTCCAAAATTATAAGCAAATTCCAGTTATGGATGAAGAGGCAAAGGCTGCACCATCTGAAACTCCTCAAAAAGAATACAATTCTATTAATGGTAGGCCTTCTTTTGAAGGAAATCAATAACAGCACTATTAGCAGGGACTCAATCCAGGGCAATTTATTTGTTAGGCTAAAGTACACCCATGTACTCAAACTTCAAAAAAATCCCATTTTATGACAAAAAGCACAGTTGCACAGCTTTCTGCTGAGCCTCAAGCACAGTGCAGCAGGAAAAAGTATGAACTGGACATTCAGAAAAAGTGAAAGCATATGAATTGCAAAAGCTGAGAGGAGAATTCTTCCAGATAAGGCAACTATATAATATGCTACCTGAACAATCGTGTCTATGTCATATACAGTCTATGTTTCTGAGCAGTCAGTGACAGGGACATTTTCCATACACACAGATTACAATTATACACTTCTCCCTGACACACCGAATATCCCAGAGCAGGCACTGATTGCAGTGTGAGCACCCTGATGTGCTGACACTGCAGTTATGAGCTATGAGCTCCCAGGTGCTGTACTTAAATGTACTTAAAGAGCATGGCACCAGAAGATATTGTCCAACCAGAAGGATAAAATGTAATGCTCATAGGGAAACAAACACCACCACAGAGGGATTTCCAAAGGAGTTGTGAGATGATCCTGAAAAGAACAACAACCTCTTCTCAGAAGCCTAAGAGACTGAACAATGCATATGAAAATGGAGCACAGGGTAGAGAGGTTGCTTTTGTTGTTGGGTGATTGCACTGTTCTTTCCACTGATTACTGACCAGGCAGTAAGGAAATACAGAAACTCCAAAATTCAGACAATGTATTAAAACTTCTTTTAATTTGGATATTTTATTTACTTCACATAGTTCATATAATAATGTCTTTTGTAAGGCTTTGTTTTATGCTCACAACTGAAGAATTATAAATAACGCCAAGCTCTGGTAAATGAAAAAACAATATGAATGACTAAGAACTTAATTTTTTAAAAGCCTGTTCAGCAAAGATAGTAAAATTTCCATACAAGTACTAATAAATCTATGCAAAATTAAGAGCAATATAGGAATAATTGTATTATAATAATAGATTAATACTATAATAAACATATAATAATAACAGGAATATTCTATTTTTCAAAAAGCAGACATCAAAAATTCAAGAAAGCTACACTTAATTATAAAAATACAAACAACAAAACACCTCATTTTCTTCTGCTTACTTTTAACAGGCTCTAGCACAACTACAGTTTATTACAATTCATTTATGATACTTTACCTTCCTGTAGCTGAACGTAAGCCTTACTACAACCTTCTGTAGATATTTAAAAGTAAGATTTTCAGGAATCAAACCCAATGGCTATGTAACCTCAGCATGTTATGAACCTCAACACCCTGAGGAAGCTCACAGGAACCATCTCCAAGTGGAAACCCAAAGAGGAGCCAAGGAGCAGCTCATTTCCTGCCTCACCAGCAGACCACACACAATTACCTTCCTAATCAACAACATCCCATGAACAATCTGCTCAGAGGTAATTGCTGAGTACATCTGCCATCAATATGCACAGAATTATTGCTAATAAATGTCACTGTGAATTACAGTCAAGTGCTACTAGACTTGGTATAAACTTGGGTCTACCCTGGTGACAAGAATCACTTTCCATACCACACTGCAAGGAACTCCCAGTGCAAAGAATAAAGATCACAGGGGTTCCAGCTGACAAAAGTCTCAGCTTTGCCACCCATCCCACTGTGGCACGCTGCACACTGAAGCAAGAGGTGAGCCATTTTTTTAATCCAGGAATAAACCCACAGGCAGTCTGCAGGGATAGCTTATACACAAGCAGCTACTCTTTTCCAGTGCATCAGTGAGCTGACTTCCCTCCTGGAGATCACTCATCACAGTTTAAATACATGAAACCATTTCAACATGTAGCACTTAATCCTTTGGCACCACAGTTCTGATTTCCCCAGAGCACTGGCAGGTGCCAAGGAGTTAAACAGATTTTAATGAACAGTTTTCACTGTTGGATGAGCAAGCAGCAACTCAGTGTTCTCAACACGTGTCCTCATTGCAGGAAATCCACAGTCAGACACTCTTGGCTGTTCTCACACCATCCACTCACACTGCTCCAGCATTCTGAGACTTTTTGGGCTTCATGCAACATGCAATTAAACACTGAACAGTACTTTGACTTGGACTTGGCAGCGCTGGGTTGACTTGATGATCTTAGAGGGCTTTTCTGGCCGAAGTGATTCCATGATTTACCCCAAAGCAAAAGAAATCAAGGCTCCCGTGGCAGCATTATCCACCATGCACCTCATGAGACCATCTTGATACAGGGCTACACCAAGATTTGTGGCAGACAGTGCAACTGATTTTGAACGCATTTCTATTATTCTTATTCAAAGACAACAGCTTCTTCCTTGAGCATCTCTCCTGCCATCTTCCATCTTGTATCATACATACTCCATTTCCTGGACATGAGCCCATTTTAGTAATTCTGCCTAAATTCTGTACTCTTGTATAAGCTATTGCCCCCAAATTAAATTTTAGCAGTTGCTTTCTCAAGGGGTCAATTCTAGCCATAGGACTGTTACTTTCCTCCAATAGATCCCTAAAAATAGCATTAATTCCAATCTGTGGCTGCTGTTGGTTTATAAAAAATATATGTGAAATATGTGAAAAGATGCATTAAATTGCAATATCAATGTTCCAATGTTCATACACGGCCACCTTCACCTCAATTCCTCTGAAGAGGACCATTACCACCTTTCAAACTGTAAGAAAATCACTAAAGCTCAGGCTGATTTACAGCACCACATCTCAACAACTGTTCAAAAAAAGCCAGATTAAGCTAAATCAAACTCTCTAGCACTTAGCTTCTGGGTTTAAAGCAAAGTTTGGGATTCTGAGTCTAAAAAAACATAGAATCATGAAAGTATTTAGACGCAAAGCACCTGAGGGAAAAGACCCTTAAGATCAAGTACAACCATAAATGTAACTAACTAGTCCAACACTAAACCATGTTCCTATGTGCCACATCTACAAACATCAGGAAATTTAAGTTTCTCATGGAAAGTTTGTTTCACTTGCACTCATGTGTACCCACCATATGAGCTTGGTCCTGCTTTCTCTTCATAAGTAAAATGAAGTTGCAGCTCCTCTTCTGACATTCGACTGATGAATACTTTCAGCAAACAGCAAATAATGAACAGTGCATTGTGAGCCTGCCAGATAAAGAGGTGGCTAGAAAAGAACAAACAAGAATCAGTAATGCTCCACCAGCAAACATGCATCAAAAGCCACAAGAAAATAAATGTCAGAGTAGACAAAGTTCTACATTTGAAGCAAGGAAAAGCCAAAGTGTTTAAGCAGGGAGTCTGCAGTTGATGTTACAGAAAATACAATGGGAATGTATTCAAAAGTAGTTTAGAAAGTACAACTTTACCCCTAACTACATTTGTGCCATTAAAAACACCACAGCAGACAGAACTCATTGAGGAACTCACAAACAGTTTAGCAAACTTCTAGATGTCTCTAGATGCTATGGACTCAAGGCACACAGACATTTGAAAATTTCCAGCAGATTCAGACCTGAAAGCTTCCTGGCTCCCTGAACCTTAGCCCTTTTCCCAGGTGAACAAATTTCAGGTGGCAGGAGGCATTTATGGACTTCATGAGCACCATACAACAGAATTTTCTTATGCAATACACACAAATATTTTCCAAGCTTTCTGAATGAAAGGGAAATACAGCTGCATACAATTTTTTTCAGTCCCAGTAAGCAACTGCTGAGGAGCCCATGCAACAGCACAGAGTCAACTATTGCCCAAAGCTGTACTTTCAAGGTATTTTAAGATTAAAACAGCAACAGCTATCTGGGCACAAGTAACTTCCTACTTTAGATGCAAGCAAAAAACTTGATGACAGTCCTGGGAACAAGGAGGAATTCCAGGCCCAGATCTGATGAAAGTGGGACATTTATCTGTGAGTGTGAGGGAATAACTACAGAAAGCCTCCTGCAAAAAAACCCCACAGTGCTGCACAAGTAACCTATTGGGAGCTCTCTCCTAGTGCTGAAAGAGGCAAACAAAACCAACAGCAGGTGCATGACATAACTTGAAAGCAGTATTTTGATACATATTTACATATTTATAGATATAGATATTTAAAATATTTTCAAGATAGAATAGTGGCTCATACATTAAGTTCAGCTTAAAAGTTCAGATAATTTTTAAAGATCTCTAAGACAGTAGTACCCATAACTTACGTCATTTATACAAAAATGTGTTTATCTAACACACAAATATGTATTTTTGCCCAGTAATCTACTTACCTATTACACTTAATTTCTGTGTTTAGAGAAGTATTAGACCCTTGCTCTGTTTCAAACAGCAGTTAAGAGAATTCTAAGGTTTGGTCTCTGAGCATTCTAATTAGCAGTGTAGAAAAATTCAAGAGCTAGCAACAAAAGGAACATCTAAACAATTAAACACCACACACAGCTCTTTTCTGGGAACTTACTTCTGACATTCTGCTGAAATTTTTAACTCTTTGGTTCTAGAAAGAAAGACTTTAATCAATGATCCAAGGTTTCCTGTTCGAGGATTCTTCTCAACTAGATGAGGAAAAATAAGATACAATTACAAATTATGCAAAAGCTGACACTATCTAGTTCAAATAATATATAGAAAAAAAACGAATTTCAATGTCTCAAATATTTCTAAATAAAGCACAGTATGTCTTTTTTTTTCTGTTTCTTCTTTAAAGATTCTCTAGCACATGGTTTACTAGTCCCAAATTGTTCTCTAAATAATATTAATCCTAGATTTAAAATATCCCAAACATGGTATACTCATACTGCTTCCTTTCTCAGACTTGTCTGCAGCACAACAGCCTGCCACCAGAAAACTGGGCAGGTCTTCACAACTACCTTTCACCTTCTCGCAACACCACTGATCACATTTATAGCACCTCTTCCTTTCATCCTCTAATTCCTTCCCCTTACTGATCAGCTTAAAGAGCAAAGGGAAAAAGACATAGTAGAGATGGAAATATTATTTTTAAACTTTGCAGTCATATCAAGTTCTGTAAAAGAGTCAACAATGGAAGTAAAGGTTTGGGATATACATAAACACACTCTTTACACTACTTTAATTTTAGTAGGGCAATATATACAAATAGAATGCTAAAGGCGTGAATGCTTACAGGGATGCTGTTCCCCAATTTTTCTGGTAAAGTACATGGAAAAAAGATGGCACAACATCTCACCTAAAGACTTGCAGACTGAGATTGTGGCTTCTTCCAGGAGCTTTAAATCAGCGCTAGGTAAGAGGAAAAGAAAACAAAACTGGTTACACAAGCAATTGGGTTCCTGTACTTGAAGTGAAAATTCATTACAAAACAGTAATAAAATATTTCTATGAAGCACTTAATTTTAGCCATCCATTGGCTCGTTGAGGTCAGTTTGTCCAACCTCCCTGCTCAAACAGGATCTCCTAGAGCCAGCAGCCCCCAGCTGTGTTCAGGTGGCCTTTGAGTACCCCCACAAACTCTCTGAGCAACTCATTCCAATGCTCTGTCATCCTAACATCAGGCAATGCAATATTCTTTTGAAGGACAGCAACTATAAAAAAGGAAACTAATATTCAGAAATTAAATGTTTATCAGAGTGAAATTAAGTCAGTGTCTTCTCCCAGGGAACAAGGGACAGGATGAGAACAAACAGCCTCAAGCTATGCCAAGAGAGTTTTAGGTTGGATACTGGGGAAAATCCCTCCATGGAAAGGGCTGTCCAGCCCCGGCACAGCTGCCCAGGGCAGTGGTGGAATCCCTGTCTCTGGAGGGATTTAAAAGCTGTGCAGCTGTGGCACCTGGGGACAGGGGTTAGTGGTGGCCTTGGCAGTGCTGGGGAATGGTTGGACTCCATGGTCTTCTGGGCTTTTCTAACCTAAAGGATTCTGTGATTCCATGAGCATTTTATTACTGCTAGTTTTGCAGCTTCAGTGCAATGCTCAGTTTGGTGTTACCGAAAATACAAACAGAACAGGAGCCTACAGAAAGAACTCAAAACTTTTTACAAGAAATTTCACATGAAATGATGCACTTTTAAAATTATGAATAAAAGAAAACTCAATCTGACATTTAACCTCAAGCCAACCAGCTCTTTCCTTTTAACCAATGTCATTATACTAGTGCAACAATCACATCAGATACAGCAAATTGTTCCTAACTTCATTAATTGCCTCGTGATGCACGTCAGAAAAACATGATCTGAAAAGGACAATAAAATACTAAACCAAAACCTGACAGCAACCACTGAAACCACACCAGCTGCATCAAACACATCCTTCTGACCTTCCAGTACAGGGCAGCTATCTTCAAAAACATCCTTAACAGATGCGTAAACAAGACAAACCATCAGATACTGTGTTCAATGCCACACTGAGCAATATGAATATCAATAACTAAAGGGCACCCTGTTTCACCACTCTCATCATTACAATTTTTTCCTTCTATCCTGTCTGAATCCACCCTCTTCTAGTTCAAAATAAGCACCTCTTGTCATATCATGAACTGCTCATATCATGAACATATGAACATATAATATCTACTGCTCAGTGTTTTGGAAGAGATGATAGAGCCTCTGCACAGACTGAACATATAGCCTGACCTTCAGACACTTCTGAAGTTCAACAAATTAAGGGACAGTAAAAAAATTTAGTTCAACAGTTGCAAGTATAACACAATCCTTTTTAAATTTACGTGGTCATCCAGTTTACAGCACACTGTTGCATCAACCTGAGATTATCAGCCATGCTGTGTGGGAAGCTGCTAAACCAGCTCCAGTGCTGAAAACCCTGTGGAGCCATGTGGAGTTTGAGCTGTTCCCCAACTCATGAGGACTAAAAGATACCGTAGAAAGAGCAGTCAAAAAATTATTTCAAAACACTTCAACAGGAAACTATTCAAGATATAGACATCAAATTAAGTTTTAAGATGCCTGCAAATTTTCCTGTATACCAGACTAATTTACTGTGCAGTGAGCTGACAGCTGAGACAGCTCTTCACCTACAGCTGAATATCCTAAGACAACTTTAGATTACACAGATTGTCTTGTCCTGATATCAATTACCAGCATTCATTCTTCTCTTACAAACTGCTTTGAAACACAAGATTCAGAAAGAACAAACTTACATTTGATATATACTTTAAAAACATTAGGCTTGGTCTCAAAGGTGGTCTCTTGTTCCAGCACTACAAACATGCAGAATAATTAAAAACAAATGGTATTGAGCAAGAACCACCAGCACGCCACCAGCAACTACAGACAACACAGTTTTCTAGGTCTATGTGACCTTACACTTTTTTAAAAAAAAACAAAAACTTCTAAATTTGCCCAGCTGGCTGCTTGTCATCAGGATTTATTCCTTCCCAAGACCTGGCAGGCAGGAAGGGTGAATATTACAATGGACAACAACTCAGTAGAGAGTTTTAGGTACTGAAAAATCATAATCTAACACAACATGACCCCTCCCACTATCCAAAGATCCTGGGGACACAGTCAGAACGGTTATTGTAATTGCTCCAGGATTTAAACCATAAATGCAGACATTCAACTTTAAATTATGGTTCATTTTCTCCCTAATTTCCAAGGTTAGGTTTCGAAGTATAGCATTCTTACAGATTTTTTTTTTTCTTCTCTTTTGAGTTATTAAAACCCACACAAAGTCCTTAGAAAAATTCCACAGAGTTGTTTAGTTTCTACAAGTTGCCAGGATCAAAACCAGTGGCAAAGCAAGCAAGGCTTTCAGATCTTCAGCAAGGCTTTTAACACTTCAGTAATTCTTTTTCATACTAAAATGAAGTTTAGCACTTAAAAATTAACTACAGCCCACTGCCTCTTATTCATACAACAAGAACACAAAAGTGAATTTTGCCACACTCAAGACTAGGCAACAGCTACTGCAAAATTTCAGTTCACTCAAACGAAACACCTAGTGAGGGGGAATTACAGCAGAAATACCACCCCAACAGACACACACCACTGAAATATATCCCAGGGATGGACTCACGGAGACAATATCATGGAGGGGTACAAAAAAATAGCAGCTCATTCCTAAGTACCTTGGGCGATACTTAGCAGCGACTTTCTTTCCTTTGATTGGGCAGAAAAGAGAAGTGAGAGACATGGAAAAAAGCTATATGGGTATTTTCTAGTGCAGTGAAGAGACAGAAGGTAAATAACATTAAGATTTGGGTAGAAGATGCCAGAGACAAGATCCACAAGGTGGCACAAAAGAAACGGTACAACCAACTGTGGTACCAACTTTTCCCTACATTTCCCTGTGGAAATGACATCTGGTTAATGAATGAATGTAAAAATGAAAACTCAACACTCAAACATCTGTCCTTTCATTAAGCCACAGAGAACACTGCTAATAAGTACCTGACTTGTATTTCAGCTCTAACAAGAGCAAGGACTGATAAAGTGAAGCTCCTTCAATGCACTGATCACAAATAAAAGTTCCCATTCTCTCTAAATTGGAACCCTCACCTGAATTAGTACTCTCACCTGAGGAATATGGACTGCCCTGTTGTCAAATATCTGTCAAATACATGTCTGGAGCAGAAGTCTCATGAGAAGCGGCTGAGGGAGCTGGGAAGGGGCTGAGCCTGGAGAAAAGGAGGCTCAGGGGGGCCCTTGTGGCTCTGCACAGCTCCTGACAGGAGGGGACAGCCGGGGGGGTCGGGCTCTGCTCCCAGGGAACAGGGACAGGAGGAGAGGGAACGGCCTCAGGCTGGGCCAGGGCAGGCTCAGCTTGGATATTGGAGAAAATTTCTCCATGGAAAGGGCTGTCCAGCTCTGACACAGCTGCCCAGGCAGTGGTGGAGTTGCCATCATAGGAGGGATTTAAAAGCCATGCAGGTGCAGCACTTGGTGACACAGGTTAGAACACATAAAAGTAAAGGACAGATTTGTTAAGGATGAAGTGTAAAACATTCCCTGCTCTATGAGAAACATTTGGTATATTCGCAATGTGAAACAGATTATATATTTCTAGCAGTGAGTATGAAAAGTCAATTCTGCATCCTGCTTGATGGCACTGCAGGGCATCAGCTGGAGAAACCCACGCACCACAGCAACATCCAGGAAGCTCTGCCCTGGACAAGACACCTCTATGGAAACTAGTCACATGCATATGAACAAACTCTGAGGGTGGTAGGGTCCTGGCACAGGGTGCCCAGAGAAGCTGCAGCTGCCCCATCCCTGGAAATGTCCAAGGTCAGGTTGGACAGGGCTTGGAGCAACCTGGGACAGTGGAAGGTGTCCCTGTCCACGGCACGGGTGTCGAATGGGATGATTTTTAAGATCCGTTTCTGCTCAAACTGTTCTGGACTTCTGTGACACCAGCTTCAAGTCATGGGCCTTTAACAGCAGGATCACAGTGACCTAGTGAGTTTGCACAATGTACTTCAACTGGCACAGCCTGCACTGAGCCACCTCGCTTCCACAAAGCAGTACATATTTACATATTCACCGCTTCTATGGTTTTCCAAGAAATGAACAAAAGGTACCACCTGATGTGGGGACTCAAACAGGCTGTGAACATATGGGGCAAACAGAATAGATTCAAAGTAGAATATTCTTAACTGTACAGACTTTACTGGCTCACATGGATACAAGCAAATTTGTGAAGTGCATGGTTGCTTCCCACACACTTTAGGAAAAAATTCCAGGCTTCAGAGGAGCTCCTCCCTCATCCTGTGATCTGATGGCCAGAATTTTCAAAGTATTTAATAAAAGAAAAAAATTATTTTATTCGGTTTTCTTTTATGTAGAGGCTAAGTCCACAGACTTCAGCAAAACTAAAATTAATAATAGTGAAATTTGCTTCCTTGACAGCATAGCCACGTTTAAAGAAAATTGGTTTGTCTTTGTTTATTTTAAAGGTATCCAAACAGGAGAGGTTCTACAGTGGCAGTGATTATTTTCTGTAACATCTTAACACCATGTAATAAGAATATTTTGCATACCAATCATCACTAAAAGCTGCTCTAGACACAGGCAGCATCTTTGTGACTGCAGCTATCACACATCAGTGGTGAAAGTAAAGAGTTAAAGAATAATCATTATTTCTTTGGGTTTTAATCACTTTGTGTTTGCAATCACTCATCACAGTCCAGAGTTTCTTCATCAAGAAGTTAGTTTTCTGTAACAAAAGCTCTTTTCAGTAGAGATGGGAAAGAATGGCAAATTGAGCAGTCTATTAATCAATAAAATTTCATCATTTTCATTGACTGCAGATTTTTATTTCTGGCTTCTTACAACCAAAAAGCAGGATCCTGCAGTCAGCAGGATGTTTTTGTAAAAAACATTACTTCCAAAAAGAAAAGGAATGGAAAAAAAAGAAAAAGGAAAAAAAAAGTGGCATTATAAATAGGATTATTTTTTAACAGTTGAATTCAGCTGCCTTACTTTAAATTTACTAACAATCATTCTTCAGCAAAACCTTAATTATTAAGACAGTGAAGGCTGTTTCCTGACAGCAGCCAACTTTGAAAAATGTGGTTTTATCTGCTTTTCCTTTAACAGCACCACAATAGAAGATGTTTCAAAGTTTCAGTGGCTTTTCTTAAAGTACCTCCACATAACAAGAGAAAGCATTGTGCCTAAAAGCTGCAATTATAAACAAATTCACATCACAACACCTGCCCTTAGTATGGTAAGAAAAAAACCCAAACCAAAGCAGACAAGTACCCCTCTAAAAAAGGACAGGGGAAAAAAACAGAACAAGCAGCTTTCCTGACAGTTTTTTCCTCATAGTAAGGCCTTTTTTCTTTGCCATTGAACACAAAACAGAAGAACCAGCCCATTTACTAAATTCCTACTGTGGGAATGCTGATTTTAATGAACTAGTTGGAGGACAGACATCAAAGAATATAAGGCAGCATATGATTTATTGCACCATTTAAAAAATGTATCATGTTAAGGCAACATAAAAGCCTCCCATCTTTATGTCTTTCCATTAAAGGCCCATGCACATTATTCTTGAACCACCAACTCATTAATAACTCTGGGGAAGGAACAAAGCAGAACAGTAAATATTAAGCACATGATTTTCAGCAAGTTCTGCTTTAGTTAACTTCAAGTTTTCCATCAGAAAATAATTGTAAGTAATACCACCACTAAGGAGGAGGTTGCATTCTTGGTAGCAAATCACAGAAAAGCCAGACAAACACAAAGTCTGCCTAGACTGGGAGCTAACACTCCAAAGCAAACCTCATAGCTCTTAATCCTGACAATAACTAAAAAAATCATCCAGAAAAGCTGTACTTAATTTTTCCAATAACCAAACCCTATTGGATTGATAGGGTAGTCAACTAAAATATAGAAGTGGCAGATTTATACAATTTTAATTCAGGCGCCACAAGCCCATTCTGCGCAACAAATAAGGACCTGTGAGGGAAAAAAAAAAAAAACATGAACATGCAGGAGTGTGAAATTAAGGTACCAAGTACTTCCTAATGGCTGGAACCAGAAATGTCTCAGTAGACACTTCAACAGTATCTGCTTAACATGCATGATTTGCTTTATGGAAGACGATATCACAATAAACCTTTTACAGAGAAAAGCATAAACCTAAAACTAAACTCCTGGAAGCTGTTCCTTGGACTGTCATTTATGTTTGTACCACTTATCTGCTCCCACTCCTAGACTGTGAGAGGCCCGGGTGGCTTTCTTTATGTGCCAGATACCCAGGCTGGCTCTGGCTGTTACTATTCACTCATGCCAAGGGAGTCTCAGGCAGTGAGCAGGGATTCACCATCAGCTCATTTCTGATTACTGACAGCTGATAGTCCCTCTTAATATTTGCCTAATTATTAAGAAAATCAACAGTATGAGAGGAACAACAAGCAGCCCAGATGGGCAGAATATTAGACTCCTCGCAGCCAGCTCTGCTTTGACCACACTCTCCTGCTCATTTTTGGATGGCAAAGCAGGTTTAAGCAATCCCACCTTTTAGCTCAATAGGCTGCTGTGCCCCGAAAAATCAATCCCTCATCATGCCTGAATTGTTTTGTGGTGCCAAGCTATGAATCACTGTAGGGAATTATCTTGGCTGAAAAAATAAACACTTCTGCTGTGTTTTCCAGATAGATTAGCTCCTAATTAAACCTACAGAAGAACAAGATAAACACTGGAAGAGACAGTGAAAGGGCAAGAGCATCTTGCATCAATGTTTCTGATAGATACACCAACTTTGCAGTCAGCAGCACTGGTATTTGGCAAACTTTCCCATACAGAAACAAACTATTCCATACAGAAAACTACCTTGTGTTCTTCACAGAAACAGGCCAAAAAGTCAACAGGACTGAAAAAATAAAACTCAGTAAAGAAGGCATGGCTGAGGAAATGAGCAATGCTAAATAATTTCACATGGAACCAGAAAAAAGAGAGATTAACACATTCAGTCAGGTAGAGGTCAGAAAAAAAAAAAACAAAAAAGAGAACCACGAAGATGAGACATGGATAAAAGGAGGAAGAGCTCAACCAAACAGAAAGGGGAAAGCGAGAAAAGGAAAACAAGGACAAATAAAGAAATACAAAGTGCCAAGACACACAAAGCATAAGAAAATGAAGACAGCAGAGCACAGAAAGTGGTGCTATTTTAAGATCTGGTATCATGTCTTCATGTTTCTCACAGTAACAAGACAGTAATTCCCCATCTCTCAAGCCAAGGCAAAAAGACTACTGTTCCACAGAAGATCCAGCTCTGTTTGACACCTGGAATCTGCTGCACCTGGACTAACTTGGAACAGCTTCTGTAAAGCAAAGCACTATTCACAAGTTCCTAAGCAGAAAAAGCATACATGGAAAAGTGTTAAAAACCCCACTTTCTTACACACACTGATTCAGATTTCCCTTGGAATCCTTCCTTGCAGATACTGTTTCCTTGCTACGGCCAATGCTTCTTGACAACAAAGGAAATTTGTCAGGCATTTGCTGCTGAAAGGAGTAAATCTATTCTAGCCCCACCACTTCCCCACCTTGCTGATTTTTGATTGGATTATTTGGGTTTGGCTGATTACTTTTCCTACCAACATGAACTTTTCTATCATGTTCTCTTCTAATGTTTTTCTCTGCCTCCTCCCCTCACAACAGAATTATGTCCAAAGCAGCACCCTTTGGGTGGAGGGAAGATAGCCATCTTCTCCCTGGGAATGGCAGCAGTCCCACCTTTGCAAAAACTTCAGAAAACACCTATTTTACTCTAAAGTATCACCAACTGCCTCCAGAAAAAAAAAAAAAAAAAAAAAAAAAAAAAAAAAAAAAAAAAAAAAAAACAAAAAAAAAAAAAAAACAAAACAAAAAAAAAAACCAAAACAAAACAAAACACTTACACAGCTCCCAATCACAGCTCCCAATAATACTTGCAAACAGTCACTAGTTTTGCAACTGACAAACAGAAAAAATGAATTTTAAAAGAGAAGAAAACTGTAAAACTCTGTCCTGTATGACAGGTGAAAACTGGCTCCTTTCCACAAATCACAAACAAGCATCTTGCTCCTGACACTTAAGCCTCATTACAAAAAGAGTTAACTTGGTAATTTGGAAGATTTCAATCTCAGAAATTGATATTGACCTCTATTGTTCCATTCCTGCAGGCAAGGTTATCTGATATAGACAAATGCTGAGGGTGCTGTGCAGCCAACATAGTCCGATTTCACTTGCCAATGGTTGTCTCAGGTAGATGCAACTAAATGGGAAATTTCTGTTTCCTTCCAATACCAAGCTGTAGAAAAGATGTCTCTAAAAATATTTCTTCTCTAGCTCCCAGGCAAGAGCACCATCTGGTGTTCAGCTAATTAAAGCTTTCAACCTGTGTTTGGATCTTTTTATTGGACTGCTTGTCTTTTTAATTATGTTTTTTGCTTGAGGTTTTTTTGTTTGGTTAGGTTTTTCCTTTGTTGACTTGAGTTTTTTTTACTCTGCACTGGATCTGAAGTTCATGAAACAGGCACAAAAAAGCTGCAAAACAAGCTAAGATAAACTCCTTAACTTTCATGGGGGAACAAAGAAAAATAGAACAACCAAAAGAAATTGGTGGGGTTTTATATGTAATTATTATTTAACCCAAACAACAGAGTATTATATAAGTTCTTAGAATACTGTCAGTCTTATTAGTCATGGGTAGGCTGTAAATAATTCTTGTCTTCAGGGATCTTAGAGGAAACACAACTGTTTGCACACTCCCAGTTCCGTACTGCCCTTTACCAGCTTTACAGCCCTCCACAACATTCTCTCTTCTTCCAAACCCCTGGCTATTCTCTCCAGGCAGAAGCCAAAATACTTCCTCCTCGTCCTCACTCTTTACAAAAATAGCACCTAGCAAATGCCTCCCAGTTATTTATCGTAACCATTTCCCATTCCAGCTGCCTGAACTTTCACTTACAGAGAAGCACCAGTTTTGTGCTGTAAACTGTAAAAATAGTTTAAGTAACACCTGAAGGTATTAATATCAGATTGTTCTTGCAAGACTGATAATCAACACACAGGCCAAGGAATTTAGCAATGGAGTTGGGTTAATAGAAGTTACAAGAACTTAAATTCTCTACTTCTGGAGATGTGGTATGAATCCTCTAAAAAATACTGATTTTATTTATACGCACACCACCTTCTGGAATGAAAATGCATTCAAAGTTTGAATTTTAGGTATTTAGAAAATATTTTTATGGAGAATACACACCAAATTTCTTTTTAAGATGCAAAGAGGGTGAAAAAAAAAAGCCATACAGAGTAAGCAACACAAAAGCTAACCTACAATTAAATCATACAAGAAGTACAATTCACTCTAAATTGAGAGGAAACACCAAGTGTTGGAATCTTCAGCAAATCCAGTCAACCCAAAGGATATACCAAAGGAAAAGAAAGCTTCCTAAAACAAGGAAAAAAGGTTCCCCCAACACTACAGACCCTATTTATGATCTTTACCAGGAGAATGAATAGCAATTACAGCTATTATGAAGAAGAAAGAAACCCACAGGAATGGAAGAGGTGGTGGAAAATGCTTCCAAATTTAGAAACAACAGCCTATTTTACACAGGCATTTATTCCTCTGCTACCTAAAACAGGAATAATTAACATAACCACTCATTTGCTTTCAGACTGGTCCCTTCTATAAACATATTATCAAAGCCAGCTCTTCAACACCCTCTTACCTGTTTGTTGGAGTGGTGAAGCTAAAAGACAGAAGCTGATTCCAGAACGGGTCGTTCTCAGAGATGGGCTCTGATCCTGACAGTTTCTGTAAGTACTCATTTTCTGGAAGTTCACTGATGCTGCTGCTATTCGCTCCCATCTTCTTTATTTGGCAAATGCTTTCCTAAATTTTCATTTCTTTGAGGGGAAAAAAAAAAAAGAAATATTTTAAATCTTTTGCACAAGTAAGGAATATGCAGACCTTGTAAAGCTTTAGATCACTTTCTTGAAAAATTACTGAGATGTAGGATTCAGGCACATAGGAATATGTTAGAAAGATTTCCTTTCAACAAACTTAAGACTATAACATCTTTGGTCAAGAAATATAAAAGTTTTCGTGCTATTCCTTCAGTCATCATCACACTTGTATTTTAATAAATTATACTCAGCAAGAACATTGCTTCACAGTTATATCAGTGACAAGGCTGCTCACAGTGGAGAAAACTACAAGAATAGAATTCACAATTTTAATGGGGATGCCAAGCTGACCTACTATTCAGAAATACATTTTCAAACTGAACATGCACAGATAGAAAATTACTACTTCTGCAAAGGTGCAGCTAATTCCTGTGTGCCACCAACAATCTACATCTTTAAAGTTCCTGCCTTTCCAGAGTAAGCGCAGCTCTTATCATGCTGTTATCAAGTAAGCAAAGGTACTACTGACCGACCATACATGAATCTCCTGACCTCTGTAAAATAACATGGTTCCTTCCAGGCAACTACTTCAATGGCAAAGAGCCATAAAATGAACACATCAGAAACACTACTGCTTTTTGATGGAACACTGCAGAAGCTGACACTCCAAACCCTCTTATTATATATGTTCTCCTTGATCTGTGTGAGGAATGAGAAGTTTTAAAATCTTCATGCTGCTTCCCATTTTTATAAAGAATTTCATTAACTAAGAGAACCACCACAATGCTATCAACTACGTGCCAGGTATGACCCCAAGCACTTCACATCTTTCCAGGGCATCAACTTCAATAAACTTTTCGGACAAAATAACCGTGACTCATTGGTTTAAAAGCTGGTATGAAAAAAGGCATCGCCATCAAGATAAAAGGGTTGTGCAACATTTACTGTAACCTAAATACTCGCTCCTGCACTGGCATAAGACAGAAGAATAGCCACAGCTGTATCAGAAGATGTAAACTACTACCCAGCAGCAACTTTTCCCTTGGTTTCTACAAAGATACAGATGTAAAGTATCAGATACAAGATATCAGATACAAGGATCTGACCATGCAGATACTCTTAAACTCACCAACTTCGAAGAAACAATTACTTCCAGAAAAGACACTTCCAAGCGCAATTAATATTAATAAAGGACTGCGTAAATATGAAGAAAGCTCACTGGAAACAAACAGTAGAGACAACAAAAAGCTGGAACATTAGCAGCCATCATGGAAGTTCTCTGAAGAATTCATATTTGAGATTTAAAGCAACTGCAAAGCACCCAAATATGTCAGAAACAACAAAGGTCCAGCACAGTCATAGAGTAGAATACAAAATATTAAAAAGATCTTTAAAATGTGAAATCCTAAAAAAAAATAAATAAATAAATAAAAGGAAAATTGTGATTATTTTCTAAATTTTATTTGTAGGAGACTGTACAGGCAGGGACACCTTGCACTGGACCAGGTTGCTCCAAGCCCCGTCCAGCCTGATGTGTTTGCAACATGTTCAACTATTGTAAAAGCCAGCAATAATGCTGTTGGCCCTGGACCTATGCTTTGACACAAGCCCCGTCCCTGTGCCTTTAAAATGATTTAAAGTCCCTACATTTAAACCTTTATTTTTTGGAGAAAAAACAAGTCTAGTCTCTGTCTGCTTCAAGTTCCCATTCTCTGCTCATGTTTTACAGCTTACTTGCTCCAAGACAAACAACTAATGGTGAAGAGCACCAAGAGGCAGCTGGAGCCCTGCCTTCAAATGCCTCCACCTTCACCTGGAACTCTTGAGTTCTCCATGCCAGAGCACTGACAGTGCCCAAAACCCTTAGCCTGTTCTCTGAAAATGAGTCACTGTATTCTCTATTTACAAGCTACCCTTACAGCTCACTGCAGCTCCCAAAGCCCCCATATTTAAACCACTTTCCCAGAAATATGACAGCAACTGGAACAGGTTTCTAGATAATTCTTGAAAAGCAGTCATGATTGCTTTCCAGATTTCCTACAGCATGCCAGCAGGTTCAATACCATTAAGACAAAATCCAAAACAAAGAGGGCTTTAACAGCAAGTCTTAGCAAAATTTTTTTGTCTGTTTTCAGAGTCAGTGTCAAATCACAGCGCCTAAGAACGTGCCCAGTTCCACAGCCACACTCCCAAGCAACATGACAAGCTGTGGAGCCCCCTGTGAGCCCTCCAGCCCTAATGCCCAGCTGGCTCCCTCCAAACTGCAGAGAACATTTTTCATTCCACAAACCTTCCCCAAAGTGATGGAAAAATAAGGCACTGGCTGATTATTTTCTCCTCTAAATGAAATAAATATCAAGCCATCCAAATATCAAAATAATCCTGCTTGTTTGAGCTTTAAATACCTGACAGTAGTTTGCAGATAAGGAGAATTGGCGAGCTTTGACTTCCACTCATTCAAGAGCCAAAAAACCTTGGAGCAATCAAACAAACATACAGATTTTTTCTCTCTCTTATAGCCCAGGTGGTTTCTTTCCTCTCCTAACTACATTGCATTCACTACACCCCTCTGAAGTAAAAATCTCAGTAAGTTCTACTCATCCTTCCTGTAGATGACTATACCTACAGACACACGAAGCTAACTCCTTCCATCAGGAACTTGTGTTATCCCGAAGCTTGATGAAGTGCTCAGCAATGACTTCATGATGCAGCCTGAGCAGCTTCAGCTCCTACAATCAGGACCACAGGCCCTGCTTTACATAAGCAAGACATTTCTGAACTGGAGGAACTCCAGCCATCAAATTACCCAGGAAACAAGTCTCTCCTTCAGAGTTCATGAACATACTGCAGGAAAAATGTATAAATATAATTTAAAATAGAAAAAAAAATCAACATTTAACTTCCAGGCATTTTAACAACAATAACAGATTAACCCAAATGATTTAACTTAGTTGATTACATGCTAGTCATGATCTCAAATACATTTCCAATTCAGCTGCTACTAAATAATATTAAATTAAATGACAGTCAAATCAAATATTTCTTTTAGAAACAGCTGCCTTTAGCTGAAACGATCACTCAAATAAAACATATAACCACTTAAATGTCCACACTGCTTTTAAGAGGCACTGCTTCTGTGCCTGCATGCTCGTTAAGACAGTAGAGGTTCAAGTTATTGGATAATATAAAAGGTTCATCACTACTTGGAACACATTTACAACATTATGCTTTAAGCAGTATTTAAACGATTTATTTATTTATCCACAATTTTTCCTTCAATTTCATAACAGCCCCCACTGCACAGAAAGGCTGCTCCAGGCGATCCCAAAGAAACTGCAAAAAACAAGGTTAAACAGCTTCTGCTTCCTCACATGCTGAAGTGGGACAGCCACAATAAACACCACATCACAGGAAATTCACTCCAGGAAACTCAGTCCTCACTCTAGCAGTAAACTACCAATGAAATCTGATTTCCTTTCCTTGAACTACGTCAAGTAAATAAATGCATGGTTCATTAAAATAAGATTTTACAAAAAGCCAATCTACTTATCTGTCACACCATCCCCCAACACCCCCCCACAAAAAAAAAAAAAAAAAAAAAAAAACAAAAAAAAAAAAAAAAAAAAAAAACCAAAACAGACACAACTTATTAGCAACTAATTTAGTTTAACTCAGTATTATTACACTCCCAAAGAATCACAGCCTGGTCTGCAAGTGTCATTCTCTATTAAATCCAGCATCTGTTTAGCCCCAGAACTTGGCTCCACAATGCAGCAGTAGAGGCTTTAGAGCAACACAAGGGAGTTTGTTTTGCACATCAGGACTCATTCCAATCTCAGATTGCTAGGAATAGGCATAAATCCCAAGTTTACTGTTTCTTCTAGGAGATTTTAGTATTAATTATTAACAAGGCTTACAAGAATATAATTTTTCATCTGAAAGAAAGTTAAAAGCAATTCAGCAATACATAGATGCCATGTATGAACTCCTAAGTGTAACTCAAGGTACAGATGTGTACTGTTGAACTTGGGAAAAAATTTGTCATCCTCTATATATCTTTTATTCAAACAAGTTTAGACAAGTAATTAGAGTTCCTTTCAGGATTACATCTGCTACTGGTCTCACAACTTAATTGCTAATGCTGGAATTTTATCTGTCCAGTACAGCCAGCTGCCCCCTTCCAAAACTATGCTTGCCATGATCATGTGGCTTAGTCTGCAGACATCTTGAATAATACACATTACATACAGCTGTGGGATTTTTTTAAATTACTGCTCTAAAGTGTAAGAATTTGAGATGGTCATGCACACGATTTTACAATGTCATCTGAGATCTGGTCACTAGATTGAGTCCTTAATACAATTACATGAAAATACTGAAAACATCTTAAAACCTAACAAAAATTTATTTTCTATACATAGCAGGACTCTGGTTACTTTTATAGTTTGCAGCTTTATGAACTATGGACATTGTTTTCTTTCCAAGCAAAGGAGCCACAATCACTGTAAAGATGAGAACATGAGACATAATGCTGCTCGTTCAGTATTACCAAAGCACTACACTGAGGTTTTTGGCTGTTTCCTATTTCTATCCAAGAACTGCAGGTTTCAGGCTATCTTTCACCCATGAGACATTAAAGCATCTCACGAAGTCCTAAGCTAAATCTTGCCACAGAGGTATGAGACTACTGAAATATATTTACACATAATTCTCCATACAACAGAGAACACAGAAGTTAGATTAACAGTATGTATTGTTCAACTACAATATTTGAATTTTACTGTCCGCACAATATATTTGAACTCTGACTACTCAGTTGTGTTACAGTAATATTTCATAGATTCATAGAATGGTTTGTTTTGGAAGGGACCTTTACCTTCCACTATCCCAGGCTGCTTCAAGCATCATCCATCCTGGCCTGGAACACTTCCAAGGTGAGGCAGCCTCAACTTCTCTGAGCAACTTTGCAACCTTCCAGGCATGTTAAGTGTTTATTTACC